CCCAATTTGTCAATGTTTTTTGTAGTGTAGGAGGCGCTGGAATGCTGAAATATAGAAGACGCTATATCAGAGGCATTGGGGAACACTCCCGACACCTTGTGCCAAGTTCGGGTGGCTAAAGGTCGATCAATCGTAAGTGAGCTAGTGTGTACATAGGCAGTCCTTGGGGGGGGGGGGGAACTAATGTTTCTATTACTACTCATTTTTATGATTTATTTTGTCCATGTAACTCGGTCTATAGCAGCCCAGTTAAATTTCAGTGTGAAATTACTATATACTTGTATCTTGCTTACTTTGGCTTCCAGATCGATCCTACCTAAACTGGGTACCAGCCAAAGTCCCCGGAAGTTAAGGTGGCCGGCGTCATTTTGACCACCTCAGCCACCGGTTGTCGATTGTTCTTTAAAATATAGGTCTAGTTGTAATGAGGCTGTTCATCGACTGAAAGGTAATGGCTCGTATGCAGCTCGATGACAAACAAAACTTCTTCTTCTTCTTCTTCTTCACTTCCTCTTTTACCGCTGTGGGTGTCGAGGGAGATATAAGGTTCTGTTTCTAGCTCTTCTGGCCGCCTCGACCATAGGCACATCGTGCTGTTGTAGAGTTTCTCTGATGTTATTCTTCCATTTTGTTCTTGGTCTACCTCGTGCTCTACGTCCTCCTTCTCTTTCCATGTATGCTTTGTATGGTGTGGTGTCACAAGGCATTCTCTCTAAGTGGGCAAAACATTTCACTTGTTGTCTTCGTATGTAATCCAGAATTGGTTCTGTGCCGACTTGTTCTCTTATGATCTCATTCCTGATCTTATCTCTTATGGTCACTCCTACAGCCCTTCTCAGACATCTCATCTCCATGGTTACTAATTTTCTTTTATGGTTTGTTGTGAGTGACCATGTCTGGCACTTGTAGCACAGAGTTGGAATAAATATGCTTTGAATTAGATGTCTCTTTGTGCTGATTGGGATTGTCTTTTGCTGTAAGAGGGGGGCTAGCTGTCCCAATACTTGGTTTGCTTTACTGCATCTAATGTTAATTTCTTTATCCAATTTCCCATCTTCGGTAAATGTAGTTCCCAGATATTTAAACTCAGATGCCTGTTTAATGCCTTTCAACTCTATTGCTATGTTTAGATCTGTCTTCTTTTTTCCTATTGACATGACTTCTGTCTTTTCACTAACACCCTCAAAGTTAACACACTGGCTTTTAATGCCTTATCAAAAGGAACCAGCAGCGGGTGGCCGAGCGGTTACCATGTGGGGCTCCCATGCGGCAGACCCGGGTTCACCCTCCGGTAAGGTGATAGAGTTTTTCCGTCGGGGGCAAAATGTAACATCTTAACTTGCATGTTCTGGGGCGACAGCACTAGCCATGTGGCCCTAAATCATCAGGCTCACGACTTCCCTGTCTACCCCGTCCTAAAAAAAAAAAATGGCAAATATAGACAGTAGTGACAGTTAAAAGTTGACAGTAGTGACAGTTAAAAGTTGACAGTAGTGACAGTTAAAAGTTGACAGTAGTGACAGTTAAAAGTTGACAGTAGTGACAGTTGACAGTTGACAAAAAGGTACAGATAGTTTATCCCAAAGGTGGCGTGTGTAATCATAACCCGCCACAACCTGCTCGATACCCCGTATTGGCCTTATGGTTGCTTCCAAGTCGTGCTCAACAGCCTCTGGAAGAGCTATATGTTAAAACGCACCTAAAGGCGTGGAAAAGTTTACAATGACAACCGTAGTCTCTCGGTCTCTAAGTTTAAACATTTATTTAATTTGTGTGTTTAAAAAACCAGATTAAAAATAACAGCCCGCGATGATTGGCAACTTTCCGTCTTTCCAGACGATAGTGTTATATTGTGTCCGAGGAGGCGTAGGACTCACAGCCCATGTGTGGCAACCACCCCCCCCCCCCCCCACCCTGAACCCCCCTCTTTCCCCCTTTTAAATCGGGTATATAAAAGTCTTCCACAATGATAGCTTGGCATTTCAGAGCCGCTGTAGACAACATTTGTGTTTAATGTGTTTCTTCTGAGACGCTCAGCTCTCATCCTGTCTGCAATCATTTCTTCCTTTACTCTCATTCACCAGCATGCAAGCCTGGATATTTCGGAAAAGACTGTGAGCAGCGGTGCCACTGCGAAAAAGAACCGTGCAACTCCAATCTCTACTATGCGCCAGATGGTTTCTTCTGCAAGTTTGGTTGCCAGGAAAACTTTATTGGAGCTGTTTGTGACAAAGGTGAGTTAAACCCATTCTCTTAAAACTTTTTTTAACAGGACAGGGTGTAGATACCTATCTGTAATGTTGCTGAAAGATTACTTTTTCTTCTTTCTTTTTTTTCTACTCCTGCAATGCGTTGCGACCTCAGGTTAGAAAGAGATCTCTGAAACGCGCCCTTCGGTTCGCTTCGTATAAAACGCATACATACACTCACACATAAGTAAACATATACACTTTCATACATACGTAAGAACGAACTAACGAACAATCGAACAAACTTTATTTTCAAAGGGTTAAGAATTGGGCACACAGGCCCGTCTAACATTCTGCCCTTCCACTCCGATTCTTTCATACAATTTTTCTTTTGCACCTCATTTTATAGTTAATAATAATAACAATAATAATAATAATAATAATAATAATAATAATAATAATAATAATAATAATAATAATAATAATAATAATAATAATAATAATAATAATAATAATAATAATAATAATAATAATAATAAAAAGAGGAATGCAAAATTAAAAATGTTCGAAATATAGAAAAGTAAAAAAAAAAAAAAAAATTACAAAATCTAAGTCTTAATTACACATGAAGACAAATAAATATCGGCTTTATTGCAGCCAGTTTGAATACATATGCTTGTTCTATCGGTGCAAAGGGATGAGCTGCTCGACAAGCAACAACAGCGCACACAGCTGAACTCCGAAAACTTCCGGGGATTCCCTGATACAGCTACGAATCGAAAAAGCCCACAATCAGACTCACACTCATCGGAGCCATGTATTAATTTGAACTCTAAGTTAAACTTGCTTCAATTAACGTGGCTCATAAAAAAGTCAGACTTCACCCATCTCACTTATGAGTGCGTTCAGTAGTATTAGCATTTTGGCACCTCTAGCAACTGCCGTACGCATTTCCTGCGTTGTGATCATATTTTTGGATTGTTCCTGAAGTAATGTGTAAACAAAATCTTAGTTCCAGATGCTAAAGCAATATCAGCTGATTGTTGAATCATAAGGTATTCTTGTTTGCACTTAGTAAAAATTAAATCTTTGAATTTCGACGATTTTGAATTTCAAGGTTATGACAAAATTATTTTTCTTTCAGTAGCAATGCGTCCACTACTAACCCCTTTCTCCCCCCCCCCCTTTTTTTTTTAGAAGTAAACGCCATCGCATAACTATACATTTACTTTAATGAACTCCCCGTGTGGGTTCCGGGGACCTATTATAGGGAAAACAAGAACAGATCCACTGCCTACCCAAAAGCATGTCGTAAGAGTGGACTAATTGGGAGCTTCCTTCGAAGTCGGTGCGCATCTGCCTGAGAGGCAAGGAACCAGTAGTCTGCATACAAATGAGTCAGATCTGTAAAACTGATGCACACGCAAGACTCAGGTTCTGGAACATGACTGCAGTCCAGAAGTGGACGAGCAACTAGAGCTTTGCGCTAGAGTTTACAGCTGGTGTCGGCGAAGAAGAAGAAAACTTTAATGGACAGTACCCATTTTCTTAAAAATCGACCACCACTCCCGGTTACATAGTAAAATTATTAAGATGAATCTATACAAAAGCATTTACAATTTGGCTTTTCAGAAAAACAAGACACTGAGGTAAAGTATTATTGCATCAATTCAGCAGACCGTGGTGGCACTTACGTCAACATTAGGATTTATACAAAAGGCATGCCATTCAGGTATTTCAGAAATGTGTATTGTTCAACAATCAATTCATTCAAAATATTTTACCAGAGTCTGCTATCTGTCGGTTCGATATAGTATTAAAAAAAATTAATTATCTGACTATGTTTATGTTTTTTTTTTTTAACAGATCAAGATCATTGCTCACCAGTGTAACCCATAAGTGCTCCGTTCTTCTTCTAAATCAAGCTGAGTCTGAAGAATCTCAGCACAGTTGAAGGGGAGTAGGAGGAGGAGGAGAAGGAGGATAGTTGCTTTTAAGAACAGTCCCTTTCCATAATAATGTTGGGCAACCGTGTAGGCATTTCTGGTGGTTTTGTTCCTTTGTTTATATCTTGGGAAGTAGTTCTTTTGTAGAATTTGAGGCTGGTGTTTTCACAAGAGAACCATATAGAGACCTACGTCTTTTCTTCGTTGCATATATTTCATCAAATGAGACATTACATCACACTGAAGGGTAGTTGAAGAAGAGGAGGGCAAAGAAGAATCTGTAATGACAACATCAAGAAATGGACAGGACTAAGATATCCTTTACTCAATCATCAAGCGGAAAAGAGAGAGACACATGGCGGGTTTTAAGTTCTAGTGCGTCCTTAGATACACTTACGCGACACTAACGGTTCAAGGGTTATGTTATGTTGTGGAATGTATGTTATTAAAATATAGTCGCTGCTGTAGCCACCTCAACCCTTTTTAGCGCATCTTTATTCTTTAAGATAGTACAGATTGTAGGTTTATCCATGTCGTGCAGCTTAGCGAGATGAGAAACACAAAAAAATGTTGGCCTGAGTACAAATGATGCTGTTCATGAGCCGAAAACAGAGCTAAAGACTTTTTTGCGCGTTCGTGTTCTGAGCCATTGTAAGCGGTTCGAGTTGACATTTATTTGTTCAGGAATTGTGTGCGTGGGCCGATTTGCTGGTGAGTAGAGGCGTTCGTGACGTGTCTAGTTTTTCTACATCTATCTCTCTGTCACAATTGTGTTTGTGTGTGTATTATGTAGGTCCGTCTGTCTGTTTGTGTGTACCAATTGGCTGTCCTACACTGATACTAATAAAATAATTCATGCTAACAGCCTTATCTATGGTCTGACGTCAAACAAGGTCAGGGGCGACTGGTGTGAATCTACAGTCATCAACAGTGGCAGCTCTAACCTGACCACCATCAGAATCCCTGTCAACAACGTCACAATTGCACAAATGTCCAGTGGAGAATGCGCCGGCCAGGTTGGTACAGTTCAGTTTGTCTTCTTTAAGGGGTAAGGGGAGGGGGCGGGGAGGGTGGGGGCACTTAGGCACCTTATCCTCCCCCCACGAGGTATAGACGCTTTGTGTTTAAGTGCATTATTTGCTTACACATACACTGTTATTCCAAGTAAAGTAGAGATCCCTCTTCCCGCCTTTAAGGGTATTGGGTGCATGGAAAAAGCACTCATATTTTTATATACCAATCGGCACTAAGTGAGTAATGAGGTCAGCATTACGCCGGCCGTCTTTACTTCCCCAGGACATACATCTTGGTACCCATTTTAGGCTGGGTCGACCTGCGACGCTTCATAGCATGATCAAAATCCACGCAGCCAGCAGTGGGTTTCGATCGTGGTACGTTGGAATTTGCCATATAGTAAATTTTACTATTGTTATTACCTGATTAAACAAGGCTTAATTTCCTCGAAGCTTCCCACACAAATGTTACAAGAAAGCTTAGAGGAACACCACCCTCAATGTTTTATATGTGTCAGCGCTCCACAGGTATCTGGAGCCGATATCGCTTGTTCTCTCTCTCTCTCTCTCTCTCTCTCTCTCTCTCTCTCTCTCTCTCTCTCTCTCTCTCTCATTCTCCCTGTCTCTGAAACAAATAGTTAAAAAATGTATACCAGTCTTGATGAGAGCACAAGAGAAGTATTCTATACTTCCGGTCTATTTTGATCACATAAGGCACCACCATTTATGTGGCAACAAGCCACTTACCATTTTCTGAATCTACAGTTCACAACACTACGTTGGTCAGCGTGGAAAAACATTTCAACTAAAATCCCCAGCTCATAGTTTCGCGCCTTGCACTCAACTCAGTAGCTGGGCGACAAAACTATATCCTTCCTGTGTACAATTGAAGGAAAATGCAACGGCCACCGTCTGTCAAAAGCAAAAGATTTCCACGACAAAAACACTGACCGTGCGTGCCTATGGTCCATTTTGACCGCGATATTAAGCTGTTTTAAAGGCCATAAACTTTCTGCAGGGATTTATTTCTGTGACTTTTTTTTTTTTTATTGAACCACTTTTTTTTTTTTTTTACATTTGTTTAATTTGAATATACGTTCTGCAAGAGTCACTCCATACTTGCGACCATTACATTCCCGGATAAAATCAGTAAAAACGACCCTTTTCCATGCCCTCAACCTGTTAGGCATATAGGGTTAAACTTATATTTTATAGATCAGTCGGCACTCGCTGGGTGATGTTGTCAGCATCACGCCGGCCGCCTTGACCTCCTAAGACTATACTTGCTAACGTCCTAAGGCTGGGTTGACCTGGTCATTAAAAAAAAAATACAGTCCGTCTCGGTCATGACACGAACCCATGTCTTTCCATCCCCAGGTAAGCGTCTAGTCGCTACACCACGGCCACTTGAGACAGTAACTAGTGACAGATATTAAACAGACGTCTCAAACCCATTAAATCATGTTTTCACTATGTGTGGTTTCACTAGAAACTTTTACGCCAAGTAGTTTGCCATTGCTTTCTGGCGGTAGACGCTGATTCGGTTGTCGAAGTCAACCCAAAGCGGTCTGCTTCCAGCAGCTTGATTAAAGCTGGTATCCCGAATTTACATACATACGTTCACAACAGCTAAACTACAAGGGCTGACAAAATAGCAAGGTACTTGTAAATTCATGAACAATAGCAAGGTACTTGTAAATTCATGAACAATAGCAAGGTACTTGTAAATTCATGAACAATAGCAAGGTACTTGTAAATTCATGAACAATAGCAAGGTACTTGTAAATTCATGAACAATAGCAAGGTACTTGTAAATTCATGAACAATAGCAAGGTACTTGTAGGTTCATGAACAATAGCAAGGTACTTGTAAATTCATGAACAATAGCAAGGTACTTGTAAATTCATCAACAATAGCAAGGTACTTGTAAATTCATCACCAATAGCAAGGTACCTGTAGATTCATAAACAATAGCAAGGTACCTGTAGGTTAATGAACAATAGCAATTCACCTGCATTTTAATGAACAATAGCAAGGCACCTCTAAGTTTATGAACAATAACAAGGCACATGTAAGTTCATGAACAATTTAACTTGCAGCAACTGGGTGTGGACACATTCACCTGGGCCATTGTCTTAAAGGAGTTTGACGGGCTTCTCCAGGAGTTGGATGTCAAGATCAATGTCACCTGTGATTTCAGTATGGCCGATAACTTGGCCCGATCTGGGGAGTTTTCTACAGGAGGGTGCGTCTGTTTGTCAGTTTGTTTGTGTGTTTGTATTTGTTGATGTTCTAGTGCTGTGATCATTATCACATCATCATTGCCTCAAAATCATCGTCTGCACTAGATTAATCATCATTGTAGCATACATAGGTTCTGTTTGTTTTACCTGCCACTCAGGAAAACTAAAAAAAAATGTTACTATCTGTCCTGTTGTTTTTACAGTTGCTTCTGTTGTTGTGGTAGAAATATGTCGAAATAAGATATCCACTCCTGTAAGACTTAAAGAATTCTTGACATATTTTGTTATCATAATCGAAATAATTGAACATTAAGTATTCCCATCCGTGCTCATTCCTCTGATGCAGCAGCCACTCCAAGGTATATGTGCTTATCGCTCGAAAACGGCATAGACACGTTTCCCCAAGCTTTACTCCCTGCTCACCTAATTATGTTAGCCTCAGCGATTCATCACTAGCCTCGAATCTAGTTCGCACAGTGTTGGACAGAGCCAGTATTATCTCGGCTGTACGCTGTACTCTGAGTAGACAAGGCTTGGCCACACACTGTCATGTCAGCCACACGCACATTTCCTCTACCTTCCTGATCTCCTTGTGGCGATGCACCGCTTGGATACTGCCTGTCTACCATCACCCAGGAGAACAACTGTGATTCTTCCAATCTCGAGGTGTGCAAAGTTTGTTGTCCTTGCAAGCTTCATGGCGTGTGGAGCTGTGGCGTCCTCCTTTTGCTAGCCAGCTGTGGAGATAGTGCTACCTGCGTATGAAAGTCGATAATCCCTGACCTTAATTCTTATAATTTTTGTTACCATAGTTATTGATAGTCTTATTTTTAATTTCATAAGTATTCGCTTTAAAAAAAAACAAACAAAGTAAATGACTTTAGGCACAAGATGGGTGATGTGGTCAGCATCAAGCCGGCCGCCTTTACTTCCCGGGACTGCACCCCGTACTCCCTCAGGCTGGGTCGAACTGAGAGCCAAGGTCATTTCTTAAAATGGTCTGGCTCCGCCAGTAAGCGAACCCACGACCCGCCGATCCGCGGCGAGCTTTTAGCCGCTCCGCCAGTATTCGTCTTATTGAAGTTAAATTTCTCATTTTTCTTTCTTTTTTTCTTTCTTTCTTTCTTTCTTTCTTTCTTTCTTTCTTTCTTTCTTTCTTTCTTTCTTTCTTTCTTTCTTTCTTTCTTTCTTTCTTTCTTTCTTTCTTTCTGTCTGTCTGTCTGTCTGTCTGTCTGTCTGTCTGTCTGTCTGTCTGTCTGTCTGTCTGTCTGTCTGTCTGTCTGTCTGTCTGTCTGTCTGTCTGTCTGTCTGTCTGTCTGTCTTTCTTTTTCTTTCTTTCTTTCTTTCTTTCTTTCTTTCTTTCTTTCTTTCTTTCTTTCTTTCTTTCTTTCTTTCTTTCTTTCTTTCTTTCTTTCTTTTTCTTTTTTTTTCCTTTTTCTTCTTCTTCTTCTTCTTCTTCTTCTTCTTCTTCTTCTTCTTCTTCTTCTTCTTCTTCTTCTTTGTCGTCGTCATTGTCTTCTGCTGTTGCACGACCTCCTCTTCCTCCTCCCCCTGATCATCATCCTTTCACAATTTCAATAAACAATCCCGAGTATAACCGACTCACATCTACATCGTTGTCTACAGAGAAGGCAACCAAATTCAGGAGATGTCAATTATCCCGGAATCTACCCACGATGACGTCCTTCTTCACGTGATCAAAGCGTCCTCGGGAGAGTCAGTCAGCGAGGCTGCCATTGGTAGTGATGTCATACTAGAGATTCAGTACGCTCTACTACAAGGTCTGTGACAAGGAATGTTGGTCATCTGCCACTCGTGCCGTTTATCTCCCTCTAGTGTGTAACCCCTCTATCAAATCACACCCAACTCATTTATTCCATGCCCGCTCCTTTTTCAACGTTTAGAAGTTATATTTTGAAGTGTGTGCTTGTTCGTATCATATTATTTCAAATATATATTGTATGTATTTGCAGTTCAACACGCCATATGATAATATTCGTTGGCACCGCTTCTCTATCCAATATGATAATAATGGTTGGCACCTCTCTTCTTTCCCATATGATAACAATGGTTGGCACCTCTCTTCTTTCCCATATAATAACAATGGTTGGCACCTCTCTTCTTTCCCATATTATAACAATTGTTGTCACCTCTCCTCTTTCCCATACGATATTGTTATATGGTGTTATGACGAGGCCATTGCGATGGCGTCTGTGACTAGCAAGACTCGCTCTCATTAAGAAAAGTCTTCCACAATTATAGCATGTGATTTCAGGACCACTGTTGCCTTTGCATGCATTTGGCTTGCTTCTTTGCAGACGATCATCTCTCAATCTTTCTGCAGTCACTTTTCCCTCCATTTTTATTTCGTCCCTCTCCACGCAACACAGTCCGTGGCATTTTCCCACCCATCGAATCTATCTCAATACTTGTATTACTTGTATCTTAGTACTTGTATCATAGCACAAAGTCTGCGTTGTATTGCATAGACCATGCATCATGATCCTTATCTCGGCCTGCCTTGTTTACTCACAGAGGAAAGGTAACAGTAGTGCATTTCGAACAAATCATGCTGCAGAAACTGCCCGATTAGAAGGGCAGTGCTCTGTACTCCTATCGGAGCTTCAATCCTAGACCAGCTGCCAGTCAAGGCGAAGAGCCTGGTCTGCCCTGCCATAACAAAGTGTTCAGGTTGCATTTCCTCTTCCTAGGATAAGTCTAGTATCCTCCACAATGCGCTTCCCCCCCCCCCAGAGGTTCTTAGCGCAATATAGGATGTCAGGTTTGGTATGCCCCGATGATGAAAACAATAATTAAATATTTTTATAATTACTAGTATTATTAAGCACTTACACAATGCTTAGTCTCATTAAGGTCCTTCTACGCTGTATCCTCTCCCTCTCATAGAAAATTATGATCAGTGGCTTAACCGCTGAATATGACCCAGTTATTCTCACTCCCGTAGTCGTGTATCCTTAACAGGACGTTGCAGAACCAACACCAGCTGAGTGTTGGCTGATTTGATTTTACAAAGAACTTTTAGATTCATAAGCTGGCCATTACTCTGGATGCCACTGTAGAAATCAGCGCAAAGCGGACTGCTGCCAAATCGCCCGCAGCTGGAATCGAACTGATTACCTTAGAGTCACAAAGCTCGTTCACAACGCCTAAGCCACAGACGGCGACTTTCCTAGACCTGATGTTGTTGGTTTATACACCCGTGGTCCACCAAACCAGCGAGAATTGTTTTACTAACTAACCTCACATGAAACAGAAAATAAATATAGATAGCAGTTTATTTGTGAAGTCCGATCTCACAAAATTGCTGTGTTTATATAATGAGACAACTGCCTCTTACAGTGCCTCGAACAGTGTAATTAGAGAGTTGTTTCAGATATAGGAAGCGCTACGGTTACATATATTTAATTTATCTATTGGTTTTTTTATTTGGTTTTTAATTGTCATCATTTGAAAGTCTTTGTACACAAATAAGTAGTTTTTGAAAAGGTAATCGTACAGACTGGAAGAGACAAACCACCTATCCTACTTCGTTACATGATTAAGCCGAATATTTGCCGGTCCACATTGACCTTTCTGCCACCCTGCAGTGGACCATGACCCATGTGTTGAAGAACACTGCACAAGATCTCAAAGAGCCGTTGGAGGAGGGCACGCTAAGTTCAAAATTGCCCCACGTTCTCTTAAATTTAGAATTCATTATAAACGCTAGAAAAGACATAAAAAGTGATGAGCTATGAATCAACAACCGACATCACAGCACTTGGGACTTTCATATAAGCGCTCCGTCCGGATATTCAGCAGCGGTTCAAGTTTCGATGGTAACAGTTTAATTGTATGTCCACCCCCTACTCCCTCATCCACCAGACTGTTGGGTGCCGGCCAGATCCCTGGTCGCTCCTCGTTGCACCATTCTCTTCAGATGGGAATGATCTTCATGGGATTCCAAACTGTTTACTGGCTCCCAAATAGTCTTTTCAAGAAGGCACTCTGACAGTTGTTCATCAATGGGGAGCTTTAAATGTAGGCATCTTTATTTCAGGCTCCCAGCTACAGGGAATCCAACCGTACAGTTGTGTGGCATCGTCCTCAGATGGGAAACATGTCAAACAGCTACTGGATGAGAACGGGTCAGTTGTATGTCTGTTCGTTATCTTTTCTTGGCGTTTTCTCTATATTCTAAGCAGAAAACGGTCAGTTATGTCAGAATGAAGACTTGCTGTAATGGATGTCTATAGTCCGTTCCAGAAATCATGCCAATTTTTAAAAATATGTGAATCAGTAACCGTTCGGTGTAAGTTGTTGAAATTTGGAATATAACCTGATAAACACAATTTCCTTATAAGTATTTGGGGGGGGGGGTGGGGGGGGGGGGTTTAAAATGTAAGCATGCATTTAATTTTAATTTTGCATTTTTTGTAGTAAACGAAAAAAAAAAAAAAATGCAATATTCAAAGCAAACAATTAGCGTACTTACAGTAATTTGAGTAAACTGAATAATGGGAACTATTCAAAACTTCACACTGAACGTGTTCCATAGGTATTTCACTGTGGGGTGGTAATCTACAGCTGCTGTCTTTCTTGGTTGTTAAACACAACTTTTTATTGCATACCCTATAGCATTGTCTCTCCACCTTCCTAATGCCGCGACCATTTAATACAGTTCCGTTATATTGCGGCGACACCCAAACACATATTTTTCTTCATTACTTCAATGAATATTTGTTTTCCGCTGGCCTTTGTCGACCCTTACGAAATGGTCGTTGGTCGCACACACACACAAAAGGAACGCGACTCGCAGGATGAGAACCTCTGCACTGTAGACAATCAAAATAATCCTTACGCATCGCAGCGCACAGGAACTTTTTTTTTTTTTATCGAACACCGGCTGTGAATTCCGGTGGAAGGTCCCGGTTAATCGTCCGCTTGGACTTTTGGCTTTCACCTGGACCTGATTTTTGCGTGTACAACCGTTTGTTATTTCCCTGCCTCCTGGGCAGCTGTACGCCGACTTCGAAGGAAGACGTCAGGCCTATTTCTAGGGTGACTGTGGCCATTGTTTTGTGTGGGTCGAGACGTTGCCTGATTTGTGTGGTGTCCACTTTGTCTCCTTCGCCGCAGGTATTGCCCCCGGAGTACCCCTTTGGGGCAGCTCCCTCTGGAACAGTTGGCCCTCAAGGGAAGGCAGGGGCAGATCATGGGCATTCCCCGCCATCCAAGGAGGCTTCCATGCATGCAGAGCCGGCACATGGCGCTCTGGTTCTGGGCTCACCCAAGGAATCGTCACGTCCTGCACATGTCTGCTTAACCTCACAACCGTATCAGGCCTCCCGCTCGACAGGGGCTGCGCCCTCTGGAATTCAGCGGGGAGCAGCCCGTGGGTTTTGGACTTTTGTGACCACACACATAGGTACATTTTTTTTTTTTTTTACTTCGCACGTTGGATTTCTTTGACGAGCCGTTAGCCCAACAGAATTTTACATCCTGAATCAAGCACATCGCTATCAGTTTTGTCCCAACACTCGGGCGAGTGGGGTCTTTGGGTGTGGACATTCGGTCTTTTTCAGTTCAGTGCAAATTTTGATGGTCAGATTTTGATCCGTATGATCTAGTTTTGTCGGACATTTAGGCTTAGCCATCCGATGGATGGTTGCTGTTGTGGTGTACCACAGCGCGGTGACGACGACACTGGGGGTTAACCGAGGATGTACGTGAATGGCCAGCCTATGGATGGTTGCTGTTGTGGCGTACCTCAGCGCGGTGTCGACGACACTGAGGGTTACCCGAGGATGTACAAGGATGGCCAGCCTATGGATGGTTGCTGTTGTGGTGTACCTTAGCGCGGTGACGACGACACTGAGGGTTAACAGAGGATGTGCAGTGAACAATGTTCTCTTTACTCCGCAGTCTTTTAACCAAGGGTTGTAATTTTGGCTGTACGTTTGGCAAACCTACTCATGTTCCTAATGACTTTTGATAACATTTTTCACCCAAGCGTTTGGGGGCGGGCTGATGAGAGCCACAAGGACACATCACCTCTGGGGGCCGCCAAACTCCGAGATCCCTTGACAGCTCTGTTAATGCTCATTTGAGACATTATCCGTGGCGCACGACGAGGACGTGCTGTAGGGGTCTTGCGTGAGGTTCCGTACAACCAGGATAGTAAAGGACTGGCGCCCGAGTGACGGACGGAGTATCTCCTTATACACATCATGTTGGACTTAACTTCCCCTCACGCCTGTGACATAAATCACCGCGCCACGCACAGGAACTGATTTCAAAACAATGTCGACGCGTGTGTCAAGTACTGTACATTTTAGCTAGGGGTAGACACATTTGTAGTCAAAGATCAAATAAATTCACTGCTTTAGGAAAACAGCAGAACCCGTGCTGATGTAAATTATAAAACCATCAGGACATGGAAAATCAAAGGCCACAAGCGAAAATTTGTGTTGATCCTCACAGGAGTTTCCAAGGTATTTGTTGACGTGAGACGGCATGAGTTTTCAAACCCACTATACACTCTAAATCACTCGCCTCAGGTATACCCAGCTCAGAAACACAACTGCAACTGATGTTCGTCCACTTCTGGAAGCTGTCCTGCCGTTTGTATCGCTGTCTATCTCTTGCTTACTCTTTTTTCACAACACGGATTTTTTCCCTTCTAATTTTATATCTTTTAAAGTAGCCGAAATATTTAACTTGTCTCCGTTTTTAAATATCTTCCAACAACTTTTTCGTTCCCAGTCCCTTAAGAGTTCTTGTATTTATTCGCATTTAAAAAAATGATAAAAAGAATGACAAATTGCTTTGGATATCTGCCAAACCTCTATATTTGTTTGTAATTAACTCCTTAAAAGGGACGGGTCTTACATAACAATATATATATATATATATATATATATATATATATATATATATATATATATATATATATATATATGCATCTGTGTGTGTGTGAATACATATATCCAGAACCTTACCTATGTGTTTACTATTTATTCTGTATTTGACTAATTATATTATTTGCTTTTTTGATCTAACAAGGCGATATAGCACCAACAGCAGTACAACTACAATAACATGCGTGACAACGATGATACGAAGATCAACGTAGATAAAACAGAAGTGATGAAATTCTTCAGAAAAGGAAGAACCACCAATATCAAAACTGATGAAAGCCAGTTAAAAATGGCGAAGGATCTTACAAATTTGGGGAGCATTTTCTTTTCCAGAAGCAGGAAGAATTAATAGAGAAATCCAACAAAGATCCAACAAAACCAATTAAGTTTTAGCGAAATGACGCCAATTTTGAAATGCAAGCATGTGAAAATAAACACCAAAAGAATACTGTTCAACACAATATTCGTACTAACGCTGTGCTATCAATGTCAAACATGGACACTGTCTTTAACCCCCCCCCACCCCCCCCCCCCCCCCCACCCCCCCCCCCCCCCCCAAAAAAAAAAAATAATGTCATCACATAAATGAAATGTGTGCGAACTATGCTACGTGTAGAAGAAAGATCGACCTAGGAATTATGAAATCAGGAGAGTCGGCACAGAACCAATACTGAACTTTATAGGCAGAGAACAAATCAAATGGTTTGGCCATGTAACAAGACTGGCAGCAGACAGGGCATCACAGAGAGTAATACTACACAGATACAATGATAACAAATCCAGAGGTTGACCATGCAGAAGATGGACCGCATAAATATCAGACACTGAAAAGTTCTTTATACAAAGCAAACAGAAGGACCTGTTCCAGAGATCTCTTTCTGCTCTGACACCGCAAGACATTCAGAGAGTAGAGAAAAGAAGAAAGAAGAAGCTCATTACATAATCTCATAGCATTTGCAAGCAATCAGAAGGTTATATAATTAAAACAACCATACAGATACAAACTCATACACGATCCCCGTACAAGGTTGGTTGAAAAAAACAAAAGCAGCTTCGTATTAGAAATGTAAGGGGGGAGCAACTTTATTGTATTCGCTGCTTCCACGGCAATGAACAACATGTCTGGCGCTAGACTGTTTGTGTTAGTACTTCTGCCGGCCGTCTTATGCATTGAATGTATGCTGGGACTGCAGTCTGGGTAAATGTTCTTTCACATAAGGGACAGTAATGGGCTTCCTTGTGGTTTTAATTGGCACGGTAACAGTGAGCAGCAACCATGTGACCTATCGTTCTGATGTTGGAAATGTGATTGCTTGATTTTAGAACCCCCCCCCCCCCCCCAAATATATTACGTTATGGCTGTTCAAAGATGAACCTAACTGTATTTATCCGCAGGTGTCAGGTCACGGGTTCGCCAGTCAGGTCCCTTATCGCCTCTGGCGAGAAAAATATCAAGACGCCATTTTTCAAGCTGTTCGCCTTTGAAGGCGAGACATCTGTAACATTCCGGTGTTCATTTAACCTTTGCTTCACGTCAGATTGTACAGTTGTAAGTTTGTTGCGAATTTCTTCAACATGAGATTAACGTTTTTTAAGCTAAGTTTGTAAAGTTGTCATCTGATATACACGTATGTGTGGTGATCCGGTACGCTACATCACGTATGTGTGGTGATCCAGTACGCTACATGACGTATGTGTGATGATCCAGTACGCTACAGCACGTATGTGTGGTGATCCAGTACGCTACATCACGTATGTGTGGTGATCCAGTACGTTACATCACGTATGTGTGGTGATCCAGTACGCTACATCACGTATGTGTGGTGATCCAGTACGCTACATCACCTATGTGTGGTGATCCAGTACGCTACATGACGTATGTGTGGTGATCCAGTACGCTACATCACGTATGTGTGGTGATCCAGTACGCTACATCACGTATGTGTGGTGATCCAGTACGCTACATCACGTATGTGTGGTGATCCAGTACGCTACATCACGTATATGTGGTGATCCAGTACGCTACATCACGTATGTGTGGTGTCCCAATACGCTTCATATAGTATGTGTGGTGTCCTAATACTCTACACCACGTATGTGTATTGTCCTAATACGCTACACCATGTATGTGTGGTGTCCTAATACGCTGCATTAGGTATATGCATTGTCTTAAAACGCTACACCACGCTCTTGTGGTGTCCTAAAACGCTTCCCCATTATGGCAATGTATTTTGATACGGCTTTTAACTTTCCTCAAAATGTTATATTTACATTACAGTAACTTGACGTTATAAAAGATTTCATTTTAGCGTCATTAACTAGCTGGCGTGACACTAACGTGTTGATCTAGCTAACGTGACAGCGACATGCTTGGCTGACGTGATCGTATAGCTGATGTGACAATAAAGTGGTCATTTGGCTGAAGTGAGAGTAAAGCAGTAATCAAACCGACGTGAGCGTAGCGTGATAATCTAACCGACGTGACAGTAGCGTGATGATCTAACCGACGTGACAGTAGCGTGATGATCTAACAGACGTGACAGTAGTGTGATGATCTCACCGACGTGACAGTAGTGTGATGATCTAACCGACGTGACAGTAGTGTGATGATCTAACCGACGTGACAGTAGCGTGATGATCTAACCGACGTGACAGTTGCATAATGATCTACCTAGCTTGAATACTATCAACGCTAATATGATTGTGTGTCGCAGGGATGTAGGAAGCAAAGAAGACGACGACGAGACTCAAAAGGTGTCAGAGGCGAGCAGACACACACCACAACGAGAACAATCCGAGTTCTACGGAGTATTTCTACCAAAGGTAGCGATTTCATCCCCTCTCTTTCTCTTTCTCTTTAACGCGCGCGCTCTCTCTCTCTCTCTCTTTTTCCATTGATCTCTCTCTTATCTCCTTCTCTCTCTTGCACTCTTTTATTAACTATAAAATTTTGTACGAATAAATAATTGTATGCAAAGAGTGAGGGGACTGGAAGGGCAGAAATCAGATAACTCTGCGTGCCCAGTTCTTAAACTCCTGAAAATAAAGTTCGTTCGTTCTCTCTCTCTCTCTCTCTCTCTCTCTCTCTCTCTCTCTCTCTCTCTCTCTCTCTCTCTCTCTCTCTCTCTCTCTCTCTCTCTCTCTCTCTCTCTCTCTCTCTCTCTCTATCTCTCGCTGTGTATGTATGTGTATGTCTATCTCTCCTTCTTCCTCTCTTACTGTGTCATTCCCTGCGTCACGTGAAAAATCAAGTCACTGATCTAAAATTATGCTCCCCCGTGTGGCTTCAGGGTCCCCATTTTAGGAGTTACAAAGAATAAGTCCCACGATCCCTTACAAGCATGTCGTAGCGGCAGCTTATTAGGAGCTTGCTGAAATATGATGTGTTGGACTGAAAGGCCTGAATATCATAGCCAAGCTGTAAACCACAACTCACCGCGCCAGCTGGTCTTTAAAGAGCAGACTATTTGAAACCAATGTGATTTAAGGAACCGGAATAGTGAAACCGATAAATTAAGTTGCAAGGAGTTGTTAATTATTACAGTAGATGACACCCCCCCCCCCCCCATATGTTAGCATTGTTTGGTCCTATGATAGCAATTATAACAATTCTTTTCAATATGACTTTTTCTGGGTGGGGGGCGAGAGGTACCCCCCTCCCCAAAAGTGTGGGAGGGTGTGTTGTATATGCAATTTATGTGTGTGTGTGTGTTTCTATGATACGAATTGTAACATTCCGTTCTTTTCCCATTTATGGGGGTTGGAAGTGGCCAGGGTTTCTATAACAGTAATTCTAACATTTTTTTTCTAGTCGTATTCATATTTGGTTACTTTCTGAGACTAGACACTTTACGTAATGAGGTAACCAACACTGTGTCCAACCCTGTCATTGTCGCCTATTACGGCACGCTTGTGGAGTGCAGTGCCTCTATTATCTACTGCCCCCATGGGCACCACTACCAGATGGTACAGTTGGTAAATATATGTTCGTTACCCGTATGGGGGGGGGGGGGGGTTCACAGGGTTGGTGTTGTATGGGGGGGGGGGGGGGGTCACAGGGCTAGTGCGGTCGTCATGAGTGCTGAAACTAGAACTTCTTTTGTAGGTTGAACAGGGTATCTAGCAAGTGCCTTGTTCTTCTCCTATCTAGAGTGAGAGATTGTTTGGTATGCCAAGGGGTCAAACCTACCTAGAGTGAGAGATTGTTTGTTATGCCAATGCGTCAAACCGTCAGGTATCAGCAAGGAGGGGATAAACGATACGCACCTACCGGTAGCGAAGAGCAAGACCCTTCGCGAAAAAGCTACTTGAGATCCTGTGCTGTATGCAAGGATCACAGCTGAAAACAGAATATGTAATAATACTAGGGTGGCCCTGCGATTGTTTTCTGGGCTGAGAATAAAAGCCGCTTGCCCCAACAGTCGTCGCAAAGCTGATTATAATTACTGGCTATAATTTATTTAAAACTCGAATGTTACTGACTTCCAAGCCTCATCCGACGACCCCTGGTGAGGACATTCTTGCCGGTAATCAGCCATGCCACTGTACTGAGTTATGGTAATGACCCTTTAATGCGTCTTCAGGCGTTTCGGACACATAGGGCTAGGCCTATATTTTATAGATAATCGGCACTGGGTGGGTGATGTGGTCACAACTAAGTTATAAAACATACTTGATTATGTGTGTGTGTATATGTGTATGTGTAGATGTTTTCTTAGATCTATTCCTAGGTTGTGCAGGTGTCCCATGTCTGTTCTCATGTTGAGTAGATTCCATATATCTGTTCGCGTATTGTATAGGTGTTATATATATGTTCCCAGGTTGAATAGATGTTCCCGTATTGTGGAGATGTTCTATATATGTTCCCAGGTTGAATAGATTCCGTATATCTGTTTCCAGGTTGACTAGATTCCTAAAATCTGTTTCCTGGTTTTGGAAATATTCAGCATAAGTTCCTTGGTTGAGTAGCCTCCATATATTCGTTTCCTTTTTGTGAAGATGTTCTTTACATGTTCCCAGTTAAATAAATGTCGTATTTCTGTCTCCATGTAGTTTACACGTTCCGTAAATTTTCCCAGGTGACCGTCAGACGGAGGCATACCAGCCAGCCCGCCCACCAGCAGCCCCTCCAGCCTACGACATGGGCCCGCTCGTCTACGTCAACCCTGTGACCTGCTCGCTCTTCCTCCTCATCCTTCTGGTCTTCCTCTGCATGTACATCGCCTTCATCCGCACACTGCGCAAGTCTGTCTACGACATCCGGAAGGAGATCGAGGTCAGGAGGTCACGGGACAAGTTCCTCCATTGTGGGTGTGTTCAGCAGAAAGACAAGGATTATGTAGCCCCTTAGATGTTGGAATACATTACTGGATGACTTTATTTTTGGCCTTTTTTGGATGTTATAGCTCTCAATATAGTCCTGGATTTTGACCACATTACCCACTTTGCCAATTGGTCTGTAAAATATAAGTCTAGCCCTATATGCCCAATACGTCTTAAGGGGTGGAAAAAAGTCCTTTACTTTTACTTGACTACAGCTAACAACATGTTTATTGCTCGTTCAAAATTATGTTATTTAACGTTCTCACTGTAATTAGATACTTGTGGGATTTTGTAGCAGTAAAGACTCTCTTTCTACTTCTACGCCAATATATGTAAAGGTTAACTGAGGTCTTAGTCGGTTAAACTGTTCTTTGATTTAGACTGTGTTACTTGATTCTGAATACTTCCTACTGACAGTTTTCTAAAATACTTGTTTCATAATCTGCTTCGTCAAGAGCCCTTGAGATTAATTGTTTCAGATAACAGCCATCCCCACCAGTCTCTGTTATGATGTAGAAGACATTCGCTTTCACTCATCTCTGTGATGATGTAGATAACAGTCGCTTTCACCCATCTCTGTGATGATGTAGATAACAGACGTTTTCACCCATCTCTGTGATGATACAGATAACAGACGCTTTCACTCATCTCTGTGATGATGTAGAAGACAGTCGCTTTCACCCATCTCTGTGATGATACAGATAACAGACGCTTTCACCCATCTCTGTGATGATACAGATAACAGTCGCTTTCACCCATCTCTGTGATGATGTAGATAACAGACGTTTTCACCCATCTCTGTGATGATGTAGATAACAGTCGCTTTCACTAATCTCTGTGATGATGTAGAAGACAGTCGCTTTCACCCATCTCTGTGATGATGCAGATAACAGTCGCTTTCACCCATCTCTGTGATGATGCAGATAACAGACGTTTTCACCCATCTCTGTGATGATACAGATAACAGACGCTTTCACCCATCTCTGTGATGATGCAGATAACAGTCACTTTCACCCATCACTGTGATGATGTAGATAACAAACGCTTTCACCCATCACTGTGATGATGTATATAACAGACGCTTTCACCCATCTCTGTGATGATGTAGATAACAGTCGCTTTCACCCATCTCTGTGATGATGTAGATAACAGACGCTTTCACCCATCACTGTGATGATGTAGATAACAGACGCTTTCACCCATCTCTGTGATGATGTAGATAACAGTCGCTTTCACCCATCTCTGTGATGATGTAGATAACAGACGCTTTCACCCATCTCTGTGATGATGTAGATAACAGACGCTTTCACCCATCACTGTGATGATGTAGATAACAGACGCTTTCACCCATCTCTGTGATGATGTAGATGACAGTCGCTTTCACCCATCTCTGTGATTATGTAGATAACAGTCGCTTTCACCCATCTCTGTGATGATGTAGAAGACAGTCACTTTCACCCATCTCTGTGATGATACAGATAACAGTCTCCTGCACCCATCTCTGTGATGATGCAGATAAAAGTCGCCTCCATCCATCTCTGTGATGATGCAGATAAAAGTCACTTTCACCCATCACTGTGATGATACAGATAACAGTCTCCTGCACCCATCTCTGTGATGATGCAGATAAAAGTCGCCTCCATCCAGCTCTGTGATGATGCAGATAAAAGTCACTTTCACCCATCACTGTGATGATACAGATAACAGTCTCCTGCACCCATCTCTGTGATGATGCGGATGCAGATATCAGCCGCCCGCACCCATCCTTGTCCTTAACCTTCTCTTTCCACTGTATAACTTCAGGTGTGTGTATGTGTATGCCTGTAATTTTTTTGCCACTATCATCTTAGTCTGAGGTAACAGGTTAGTCTATTACACATTGATTATACTACAATACTCTCTACGTAATATGTGTTTCACAATGTTCAAGTACTAATATCTGCATTCAATAAATGAATAGATGAATCAAGAATTGAACTCACTTTATTATGGACATTTCCACATGTGCTCCGTCCTTTTCTTCAATGACCAACGAAGAGTCGACATGTCTGTGGTACCATCTGCAAACTGATTGAAAGTCTGACCGTTTCCCCTTAAATGTTGAATATCTTCCAGAACCTTAACACCCCCACCCCCTCCCACCTTCCCCACCTCTCCTTTTTTTAAGTCTTTCAGTGTGTGTATTCTCTATTGGTTTTATTGCACTGCCCGGTGATTCTCACAGAACCTTTACCATACCCGCTTTATCATAAGCTAGCTCGCCGCACAAAGACGTGGCAACAGCTAATCTATCATCATGCTCGTTACCTACCACACCTGAATATCTGGGACAGAAAATCTATGATTGCTCCTGATCTGGATTTTATCAGATTTAACATTGCAGAACATTCATGCGAGATAGAAAATTATAGAACAGTCATATGAATTATAAAATCACGTTGAAGTCACGTAAGTTAGAAAATCCTGCTAAAGTTATCTTAGAACATCACTCTGCTGTAATGTTAGTTAGAACATCACAGTATAATCACGTCAGTTAGAGCTCTCGTTGCTGTAATGTTGGTTAGAACATTAAACGACGGTCATGTTGGCTAGAACATCAAATCGCAGTCATGTTAGTTAGGACATCACACTTCGATTACGTCAGATAGAACATCGCATAATAATAATCACGTCAGCTAGAGCATCACGCTAAATTAGTGTTAGAACACGCGCTACTGTAATGTTAGTTAGAACAACGCGCTAAAATCACGACAGTTAGAAAATCACGCTACAGTCACGTTATAGTATCATGTAACAGTCGCGCCACTTACAACATTATACTACGGTCACTCCAGCTAGAACATCCCACAAAAGTCACGTCTGTTGGAACATCATACTACAGTCACCTTAACTAGAACATCACGTTACGGTCACATAAGTTAAAAAAAATTATACTTCAGTCACATGAGTTAAAACATCACAGTACAGTTACGTCTGCTAAAATATTACAATTCATGTTAGAAATATGAGTACCCGAAAGGACCGAGTGTAAAACGGATTGGCCTGTCCAATTTGTGACTCTTTAAAAATGACATTATTTAGATTTTTTTTAAGCTACAGTAACTTCAAAGAGACTCTGTGGTGAAGAGGCTAGACTCTCGTTTGCGGATTGGAAGCTCGTTGGTTCGGGTCCTAACGTAGCCGGATATATATTTCCTATATGCCAAAGACGCTTGAAAGCCTGCAAAAAAAAAAAAAAAGTCATTTGCTTTCCTACTTACAGTAACGTCAGCTGGAACACCATGCTAAGCATACAACTGGGGAACAAAATGCTAAGGTTTTCTTTAATTGACTTAACTAACACAGATTTTGATCAGAATGGATTTCACATACGAATATGAGAAGGAATGAAATTAATAAATGGTGCAGTGTGGTTCAGTTTAACAACTGGCTGTGACACAAGGAGAGAACAATGAGGTCGATAATCTTAGCTTAACTTTTTTTGGGGGGGGGGGGGGGGGGGGGGGGTGCACCTTTCCGTATTTCTAGACCACAGTGTTATATTGCGCTATGAGAAGGCATGGGACTCACAGCCCATGGCGATGGCGAGTGTGACTAGCAAGAAATGCCCGTTTTAAGAAAAGTTATCTTCAATTATAGCTTGAGATTTCAAGACCATCCTTGTCAACATTTGCGTTTAGTTTGTTTCTTCTCAGACGCTCCACTCTCATCCTTTCTACAACTATCTCTTCCTTCATTCATTTTCCCGTCCTGATGTGCCCTCTCCACACAACACGGCCCATGGCAGTTTGTTCCCAGAAGTCCACTTCAATACCTGTATCATTCATATCCTGCTAACACACATCTTTATTTCGTAGCACAGGTCGGCTTCGACATCTTCTTCCTGTCTTTAATTCATAATAGAGGATGTCTTTAGGGACTCTTCCGTCCTCCATTCTTTGGGTGTGACCCAGCCACCTGAGACTTCGTAGACTGAACATTGAGAAGACTAATGTAATGTCTTCACTTTCCAGTACTTAACGTTCTTATTTAGAGCCATGAAAGAGCTGACAGGTTGGCTGGATCCGCTATCACTACCGACGGTCAGCCTATGGATGATGCTGATATTATCAATGCCCTCAGAGAAATGGGAAGGATAGAGGACTTTTGTGGCAGTGAATCCACATCACTCGCCAGAATGGCAGACTTGGGAATTAAGATCAGTACAGCAAAAAACGAGACGCACACCAGACACGCCAGAAGACTTGTTAATCAACATAGAACTGGTACTATTAGCCATCGGACGTTGGGGTTCATACTGAGGGGAGGATCCGAGCACCTATAGACATGTCCGGAGTGCAATGAGGATAACCCAACTAACTAACTAGCTAACTAACTAACTAACTAACTAACTAACTAACTAACTAACTAACTAACTAACTAACTAACTAACTAACTAACTAACTAACTAACTAACTAACTAACTAACTAATTTAGAGCCATCAAATTACCATGAGGTGCTAGTTACTTAATGAGGCAATGACCACACATGAGTGTTTAGAAGTGCAATAGTGCAATCTTAGTTCAGTCAACTTCAGTCCAACAATCCAACTTGCAACTTTGCAATGCTAGCCCAACACAAGGTAAACTCATTTTGGAAGACAGCTGCAACATAAGAAAACATACTTACAACTGCGCAATCAGACGAGAAGCAAAGGTCAAACGAACATTGAAAGGTCACAGAAGTCTCCTCTTCAAAGGCGAACAATCTGACCCTCGGTCTCCTGATTTACTTCTTGTCGGCGGAGATAAAAACATGGTTTTGGTGAATCCGAAATCTGACACTTAGCAATAAACATTGCTAAAATTATGTTTTTCAGTAAGGATCTTTTTCTCTCTTTTGTCCATTTTAGGGTTGCTGCCGTTTTCTGAGCTAGGGAGCGCTCGGTTGCCATTTAAGCCGTGATAGTGTGGAGCTGGTACCAAGTTCTGACAATGTATTGTTGGTGAAAACTAACAGTTAAATATGCATACAAATCTAAACGACAG